TTTTTTTTTCCCCCCCCTCACCTCTCACCCTAAGGACAAAACTCTCCAAAGCGAGCACGGTTTCTCTGGGTAATGTCATCCTTGCTTGTTCATCTGTCTGAAGCAATTACTGTGGCTTCCTTAGGGATTATTTTTCAGACAAATTGTTGACATTTTTCCCCAGTTGGGTGTCAAGTGTGTACCTGTGGTGGTAATTTCTGAGCAGCAGAAGTCTAACTAGAGGAGTGCCCTGCGGTTAATGAGGTGTTGGAAGACAGCATGGCTGAATCTGGCATTATGCTTTCCAACTTTCCTGTTTAATTAGAAACCTGGATCTCCTGGTCATGCATTCATACATTTTTTTGAGTTGAGTGACAACCCAGCCTTTCACAGGGAAAGCAACCACAATGTTTAAGTAAGGTGTTGATGCTGTTGGCTATCCACATCGCTCTGTCATGCCCAGCTTTGTGTTTGCCATTGGAACATCATCTGTAGGCTTTCCCAGGTGCCAGACCCACCAGAGCTCCGGTACCAGGGACGTTGGCAGTGGCTGGGTTCTTCTCTTCTCCCTTCTCCTCCTGCAGCTCATTGCCTAAATCCGGGATTTGGGCAAATATTCAGTCCTTACTGGACACTGCCAGGTACTGGTTTAAATGTCAAACTTCTCAACTCTTGTGCACTGCAATTAAGGAATTACAAGTTCGAAGCAGCACAGAAGGTACAGACGGAGGGGTTCAGCCTGTGTCCCTGCCTTGAAAATGGGTGCTGCACGTGTAGCACATGGGCACGTGTGAGGATGATGATGATACCCCCATGGTGTAGCCCTTGGCAGCTGCAGGGTTGCAGGGAGCCGTGTGCCTGCTCCTGGCCTGCTGTTAGCCTGAACTGCCATCACCGAGAGCTGAGAGAGTGTGTTTTACCACTCAGGTAATTAAAAGCATGTACGTGGTTGTGGTGGCAGCAGAGCTGATGAATCATTATTTGTTCACCTTTTAAGAGTGGGATTGTGTGTGCTTGGTATGAGTTATATTACATGTGCTTAGATGTGTAAAATAAGGCAGCATTGCAAAACGGACACAGGTGAGTTTAGGGATGACCAGCTAGCTTACCTGTGATAGGATGATGTTGAAAAAACCCAAAGTTATCCTGCTGCTGTGCTTAATTTTTTTTGATGGGGGGAGGTGCCTGTGCACAGTAGATTTTTTTGCAAGCATTACTTTCTTCTTTCTTTTAATTAAAATGTTTCAGTTGGTATATACAGTAAAAATGTGCCTTTTTGGCTGTTGGAGATTACAAGTGAAAATCGGAAATTCATATTTGTAGTCCTTCAAGCATTCACACAGTAAATACCTGCAAGGCCATACATCTGACCTCCCCATGGGCAGCTGTATGGAAACTTCACTGTGTAAAGGACAAGAGAAGCAGCTGGCATCCCGCAATTCTTCGGAAGGAGCAGAAATCACCTTTCGACTTGATCTCTATGCAGTTCCCCCAGATGAGAAGCAGCGCTGACGGGCCATGGCAATGGGTAGGTGCAAGGAGGGTGCTGGGCACTGGCGGGGCTGGTGCCCATGGGTGGGCGATGGTCCCTGCACCGCTGGGCTCTGCAGCTGCGGTGCTGCCGAAGCTGCCGCACACTCCTTCCCCGCCACGGCTCCGCCGTTCCCACGCCAGCTCCCTGTTTGCCTGGGAGGACAATTAACCGCGATGCTATCAGTGCTGGGGAAAAGATTTCAAAGCCAGCAAGTGCAAAAGTTCAGGAGTACAGTAATTAGCAAAGCACTTCTAAAGCGCAGTAATTAGTGGCTAATTACTGCTGCAGAAATATGCAAGGCATAGTGCCTTTTCTTCCTCCCTCCCTCCCGTGTAGAGATGGCTTATCTGGGGTTTGCCAGGAACTGGGAGCGCTTGTCCCATGTCTCTGTCCCCAATGGCAGGAATGGAGAAAAGTGAATAAGGGGAGCCCAGGTGGGATGAACCTGAGCCCATGGGTGCCGTGAGGGTGAACTCAGTCTGCTCTCCAGAGCAAAGGCCCCGGGGCTGTGCCAGAAACACGGACTTTGGACTCACACCAGCCGGCACGAGGCCGGGCTGTGACTGCCCCTCCGTCACGCGGGACTGGGCAGGTCCCCCCAGCTCTCCAGCGTAATGCAGGTTTCCCCCCAAGAGCTCAGCACATCGGCTGGTGGGGTCTGCCAGCTCATTTATCGTTATTATTTGCAAATCAGGATGAGATAATTGATAAACCTGCGCTGCTGGTTGTGGGGCAGATAACCGTCCCTGGCCGTGTTTGCTCAGGAGCAAAGTGTGTCTGTGAAAACCCTCCTGCGGCCACAGCAGCGAGGTGCCACCCTCCGGGGAAGGGCTCCGGCGGTACCCCAAGTGACAGGAAAAAATAGATTGCAATATCTAATTAGTGGACACTGCAGGCCTTGTCCTGGTGTTCCCAGAAGGTGCCGCGTGCGTGCGCGCGAGGAGGAGGCTGTGCACGGCCGGCAGCGCCCGAGCTCGGCCACGCGTGGTGTAAACAGGGACGCTGTTTGTGTTCTCTCTTCAGAAAGTGTAGCACAGAGACGTCGAGGCCATTGTTCGGCTCTGAAATAGGCTGCGCAGCTCACCTCTGAGTGAAAATTTTCACTTTGCAAAGCTGGGGAGAGCAGCTGAGCTGCTGTAATGCTCCTGTCAAATACACACTTCTGGAGTTTCCAAGGGTCTATTATACAAAAACAAAGGTAAAATGAATTAGATTACCCATCTTTTCCAAACTGAAGAGTGCTTTTCACCGCTGACACCATTATTTCAACAACGTAATGTTTAACTACCTTAAGTGACACTATGTACCTAAACGCCTTTTTTTCCCCTCTTTACTGCTGAATAAGGAAAGTCAGGCCCAACAGGCGGGACCATAGGAAGGGAAGCATTAGGAAAAGCATTCAGGAATCATGAGGCTCAATGGCTCTGTGCCTGTCCCCAGCCCAGCTTGTGACCCAGGGTAAAGGAGAAGATAAAGTTCACCTCATCCCTCAGCCGTGTGAACTGTAGCAAGTCCTGGTTTTCCTGTTGTGTGGTTTTTTTTTTCCCCCATTCACTAGAATTGCAAAATTGGGATTATTATTGTAGAAACAGTAAAGAGTGCGCAGGCTGTGGCCATCTCTCCCTGCGGTGGGAGGGATGTCTGCAGCATCCGACTGGGCTGTGTCACCCACCCTGGCAGAGGGTCCCCCAGCTCCCTTTGCGGGTGTCCCCGATCGGGTGTCCCCGCTCGGGTGCTGCCACGGGAGTGACTGGCATCACAAAGCTCATCTCTGTGGTGAAGCAGCACCATGCTCCATTTTCACACCCCTCCCGAGAGATTTAGGCTTTTTTACTCAAGCACCTCTTAATTTAAGACCAAATATAGCCTGCTGCAATATTTCCTATCAAACTTTATTGCTCTGCCACTGTACCAACATATTTTATTTACAGCTCGAAACCTCAGTCCGAGACCGACAGGAGGACTGCGCCGCACGTGAGTTTCGGCAGCGCTCCCCCGCCGCGATGCCGGGGATGGGCGGCGCGGCACTGCCGCATAAATGAAGGACTCCTGCGCTTTTGCGTCCTTGGCTGCTGAATCCGTCCCATCAACCGTGGCACCCCTGGCCACGTCTCCACCTCCACTTCACCCACAGCCATAGCCAGGCCGGGACAAGTCACACAGGTGCAATGGAGTTAAACCTATTCCCAATTTACTTTTTAATGCGATATCACCAGAAAAGGTTAGTTAAAGGCTTTGGGCTAGTCTACACATGAGGAAACTCGCTGTATGGTAAAATGCACTCGCCACTTAGGAAGAAGCGATTAGAGAAGTGCTGACTCAGCAAAGCTTTGCCCCAGTGGTGCCTGGGCTGACCTGTCCGCCCCATGCAGCTCGTGCCCGCTCACCGTAAGTGTCTGCAAGTGCCCGAGGCGGATGGGGGAAGACGAGCCGGGGTAGAGCATGGCAGCGTGGTGCTCCCGTGATGCTCTCGCCTGGCAGGAGCGGCTCTTGAGCTGCTTGGGAGATCTGCTTCGTGCCGGGAGAGGAGAAACCCAGCTTCACGGTGGGGTTTGGGAGTCACCAAGGGGCCCCAGTGCCATTTTTAGAGCCCCACTCTAAAAATGGGGGTTTGGGAGGAAGCCCCCTGAGAATGGGGTGCGATGCACTGCCACCGTCATGCGGTTCCTGCTCCACCATCACACCCTCAACATCAGACTTCAGTTGCTCCCACTCTGCCCCATCCTCACTGGGACAACGTCAAGGGGCTTTGGTGCCTAGAATTACTTATGAACAGATTGTAGAAGAGACAGATTTACTTAATAAATAAATACAAATAACATATGGCAGGTACTAGCATGAAATATAGCAATATTCACGTTGTAAGGGAGGCTAAGACGTCTAGGGCTTGGAGCTTTTGGCTGATGCTAGTTTAGCTTAACACGCTGTAGGATATCTGCAAGCATTTAACCAGGCTGGCACTCGATAACATCACTGATGGTGCAATCTGAAATTGCTTGAAGGGCACGTTAGAAGCTACATACTTAGATGGATAAATATGTTAATACAGCGTATCCGGGGAGGTTTTGCCTTAGAATGACTGGGGACAGTAAAAGCATGCGTTCCCCTGGTATCTGGGGTGTCCTTGGGGTGCCCTTGGCCATGGTTCTGGGTGCCTGCCCCAGGGCAGGTTTGTGTCCCCGGGAGCTGCAGCATGGTCACGGCACGAGCGGGTCCCGCGTTGCCGACAGACGGTAGAGGGCAGGGGGAGGCGGGGGTGCCGATGGATCTTGGGAGGGTGGCGTGGCTTTTCCCCTCATCTCTGCAAAGCTTCGTGCAGAGCGGAGGAGCTCTGCTTGGTCTATTTTTGGTAAAGCCTTTACCTAAAGCTCAGAGCTCTAAAGTTTGGCTCTGTCATAATAACCAAAAAGAGGGAGAGCAGGGGAAAAGGAGGAGGCGATGGTTGGGTTTTGGGGTTCGGGTCATCTCTGAACTCCTAGGATGGGACTTAGTCGGCCGAGACGGGCAGCGGGAGGAAGAGGATCGCCTTCTGGCCATAGTGAGTCCGCGGCCCCAGTTTGCTTCTCCCATTCTTCTTCAGACCAACAAACCAGTTCTTATCCGCGTGCTTTTTGGAGACGTACGTGTTGTAATGGTTTTCTTCGATTCTTTCAAGGAACAGGCACTCCTCACCCAGTAACTGCTGAAAGAGAGCCCCGGGTAACGACAGTGAGACGGGGTGATGCCGTAGGGAGGAGGATGTGTGTTCCTAACGCAGCAATCCTGGCTCGGGCGCTCCCTGGCTAGGATGCTATCCAGACCTGCCTCTGAGATATTCGTGCCCCAGTAAAGTTCATATTTAAAGTGTGGAGGTAAGTAGCCTTGATTTAGTCCCTCGGGCTACTCCTACAGCAACTTGTCTGTGACCTGGGCATTTTGTCTGGCAGTAACTGAGCCTGGCCCTGCGCTCTGTAAGCCGATCCTGGCACTGTCTCCTGCTGTGGCACTGATCTGTGTGGTGGAAGCTGCAGGTTTAGGGCATGAGCACGGGGAACAAAACAGCTCTTTGGTGAGGCTAAGCAGCCTGTGACCAGGATTATGTGTTGCACACTTTGCTATAAATGGGACTAGTCTCAAAGAACCAGATTATTTTTGGTGACTCGGTGCCCTCCAGTTCCTGGGCACAGGGGGGGTAAGCTCCTTGCACGATCCCGCTTGCACTGGGATGTCACAGATGCTGTCGCTGCCTCCGGCACAGGGCTCGGTGCACCCAGGATACAGAGGAAAAACGCAGGGAGGTCTTTGCTCAGTGGCTGTGGGCCATTGCCTGGGGCTGCTTCCTCTCGCAGCCCTGAACCTCCTCGCAAAGCCGCGGAGAGGCGGCAGGAGGCAGGCAGAGGTGTGGGCAAGGCGCTGCCGGGGCTGGAAGAGCCGGGCTGGAGGTTCACCTGCCCTGCGCTGCCGGGGTCCCCCCACGGCCCCACTCGCAGAGCTGGCAGCTGCCGAGGGGATGCAAAGCAGCTGCTGCTCCAGATATCGTGGAATATGATATTTGTCAAGTCTTTGAGGCAGGGTGGTAAAGGGTGTTATTTGATTATTTATTTATCTCCCCTCAAAATAAAGCCGGATGGAGAGTCCAGCTACCAAAATAACAAACAGAGGCTAATTGTTGCTTGCAGTTTGCGTTACTCAGAGCTAGGAGATTTCTGCAAACCTCAAACCCTCTCCGTGTCTGGTCCCACATAAACCTCCTACTTACCGAGCCGTAGAGCAGCCCGTTGGTGTCCATCGCCAGGTACTGCCCAGACTTGGTGCTCTTTATATACACCTCTCCCACGCTTTCCGCGCTTAGCTGGAGTTGAACTGAAAGTAAAAATAAAACAACAACAACAACAAAAGGAAAATAGGAACAGGGAAAGAATAAAGGTTGTCAGAGATGATGTCCAAGCTGCTAGGAAAGTTAGCAGGGTATTTTTGTTCTGAAGCCTGGCTTATAAAGAGTTTATAAGAAACACTACATCGTGTAATAAAAGTGTCTCCTTGTACCCTCTCCTTCAAAGAAACCCCACAGCCATGTTTTAGGAACCAAAGACCAATTTTTTCCTTATTTTACATCAAAGGAAGGGCAGCCTTTCAGTTAAGATGCCGGAATGGGACACAGGAGATTGGGGTTTTAATTCTGGCTCTAATTTACAAATTTCTCATGTGGTTTTGACAAGACACTTAAGGAGTGACATATGAAGAAGTATTTTCAGAGCTAAACGAGGGACGGGCAGACTTCAGATGCCTGCGTTGCAAAACCCTGATCCAAAGCATCCCATCCAGCAGTGTGCCGCGGCTGGCGTTATCCAGTGCGTCGTAGGCGGACCGCGGAGAAATAGAAAGGGCTGATCTTCATCCTGAAAAATACCTCCCATAGGTAGCCATGAGCCACGTCTTAGATTGTCCTAGTTTGCGGCACTAACGTGAATTTGATACTAAACCAAGATCTGAGCCTGCCAGCGCACAGGCTGGGCAGGAGCGATGGGTTTGGGGTGATGCTGCGTCACTTCATGCAGCCCACTAGGCACCGGCTTTCCGTCCCCATCACCGATGCTGGACTTCAACTAGAAACTCTGGGACAAAAAAAGCTCCTTATTGGTTTGTACTGTGGGAGGGCAGCGGCTCCGCTGCAGGCCGGGGTGTCTGGGCCACCTCCCTCCTCTGCTCGGCATCCTGTACCTAACACAGCAGATTTAGCCTTTCTCTTTGGTTACTTTTTTTGCCCCGTGGGTTCCTTTTTTTTTTTCCTTACTTTGCTAATTACGGGAGTCTCGGAAAATGATTAAAACTTGGCTCAAGTTCTTCTTTAACATATTTATCAGGAAGAGGCAAGGGAAGAGGCCGTTTGGTTGGAGGGGAGCTTTGGGAGGACAGCCCTCTAGAACTGCGTGCTGGGAGAGAACCCCGTACTGCTCTCATGGGTGGGCAGGAAAACTGAGGTCTGAACAATTAGTGGCCCCGCCGGCATGTGCGGAGAGCTGCGGTTATATCTAGAGTGAGACTTGCAAAATCCAGCTCTTCCAAATGATCATTCCCATCCCCTACTCAGCTTTTTTTCCTGAGCTTATACTGTAGAGATTTGTAACAGACGTATTTAGTTGGTTTGAATGAAGTATGAACGGATGCCTCAGCTCCAGCTTCTTCCTTCTTTTAAAATTTATTTCATTTTATCCTTTTTTGGATGAGGTAAAAGGTAATGTTTTCTCTTGGCATGGCAGAAGCCCCCGTCCCAGTGAAATCTTTGCCGTAACGGTTCACATTCTTCATTTTTGTTGTTTCCTGCTCAGTAAATGATGGTTAATTAGTAAATTGCGTGGGTGCAGATTTGCAGTAATATGCAATCCCGATGCTTGCCTGGTTGCGGCTGGGAGCTGGCAGCCAGCAAACCCCGCAGCAGGAGAGCCCCCAGCCCGCCTTGCACTCGCTGTTGTGCTGCAGCCCCAGGACGTGGCCAAGGAGAAGTCCAGCCAGGAAAAGAGGGAAATGAGATAAAAATGATGATATTGTCCTAAAAACTGCCACCAAGGCGGGGGGGGGGGACGACCCTCCAGCTGCCGATGGGGACGTTAAGGTCTCCGGCTGCAGGGGGAGGGAGAACGGTGGGTCTGGAGGAAGGATCTCTGGCACAAATTCTTGCATTTTTTATAGGTCTGGACAGATATTTCCATGAAGTAATGGGATGAAACAGAGAAAATAAGGCTGTTTGTGGAAACCAGCATGGGCTTCATCCTCGAGGGTCTACAACGTCCTAGTAAGTTTTCTTTTCATCTCATGGTGCAAGCTCAAGGTGCCCACGCACGGCAGCAAAGGACACAGTGAGGGAATCCTTACGTAGGGCTGGATGGGGAGGACTTGGAGTGAGTCACTTCTTCTGTTCTCCTTAGAGACTCTCCCTGATTCGGTGGCTAGCACCTGGCAAGGTGATTTAAGATAAAAATAAGAATTCTTGATATTTATCTGGAACAAAATGCACATGGGCATGGGCAGTTTGCAAAGCACCAATACAGGCTTTAATGCAGCTGCGCACGCTGGCTCCCGGATGAGTCGCGGGCATTCCCGTGCCTCGTCCCTCCCTGGGGACCTCTGTCCACAGGTTGCCCATATGGATCTGGCTTGCTCCATGCTGGCCGGTGCTCATCCCAGCTGTGTAAGCAGTATCCCACGGTGGTGGTCACGGTCCGGGCTGCTCCCCTCGCGTGCTGGGGAGTGGTGCTGAGCAGCTCCGGCGTTTTTGCCAGGCGCAGGGGCAGGACCATGGGCAGCCGTCAGTGCTCAGAGGCAGGGTACCTCGCCGGCAGGGCTGCTCCGCTGGCACGCAGCCCTTCCAGGAGTTTCCTCTGTAAATATTTTTATGTTCGGATATCCAAGTTTACGAGATCATTTACAGGAGGTTCCTTTCTGGCAGAGTTTTCCAAACACGCGGCCCCAGG